TGGATATAGTTAAGTGGTAAAGTGCCTCTGGGTTCAATCCCCAGTACCAAAAAGAAAAAGAATTTCCAGATTTGCCCTGATACTACAATTGGTATATTGCAACCATTTTAGTGTTAGTGGGAGCCCCAAGTCAAAATTTACCTTGGGGCTGGAGAAATAGCTCAGTTGATAGAGTGCTTGCCTTGCATGTATAGGAGTTTAATTCCCATCCACACACACACACTCGCCTTGAATCTGCAGTGTTATTATTCAGGATGCATTTGAGGAGTGTCTGGAGAGGGTAGTCCACCTCCACTGGGTCCATGTGTCTCCACCTGGAGCAGGATGGACCCTGATGCCTTGTCTACAGTCTGGTACTATGGAACTCTGACCAGCACTGGGCCTCAATGGCATATAGTATTTGGGACCCACAGCCATATCTGTGTCCACATTCTTGTTCTTCCCCTATGTGGACAATCACTGTGTTGTGCTGATTGGGTGGGAGGAGGGAGGAGAAAGGAGGTGGGCAGTCCCTTTGCCACCAGAGCCACTGCAATGCTAGATCATACCCAGAAACCTGAAGCTACAGAGACCAAGGCCCATGATGCTATGACCTGCCTGCTACCGTCATCTCCTATGGCCTGAGACCACTGCAGCCAGGAGGGGTGATGTTAGGCTGGAACATAAGTACATTTTACTGGGGCTGCAGTCTCTGCAAGTTGTTGCGCTTGATCCAGAGACCAAATTTGTGTGCTAGCCTGGGGAAGGGACCAATGAGTTCTGCCCAGTGTTGAGTTTCACTGGCCCAGCACTGAGTACCAAGGAAAGTTCTCCACTCACATCCGTCTTATCAGTAGATAAGTCTTTCTCCATGCTGTGCCTGATGTGGATGTTGGAAGCCATTCCTTGATCACCAAGGCTGATGCTGAGGACACCGTACAGGTCCATCACGTGGCCAGCAGTGCTGCAGTCTGAAATACAAGTCTGGCTCCCTGAAATCAAGATTTTTACCTGGCTCTGGGGAGGCTCTAGAGGCTTTGTCTATAGGTACTGGACTAAGGGCCATGGCACTCTGCCCATCACTGGGCTTTACTATGAGGGGCCTAATACTAAGCTCTAAGTCTAAGGCTTGTGGTGGATTTTTTTTGGGGGGGG